CTTTCCCTCACTTTCCATATCCATCAGTCATGTCAGCTCCACTTCCAGAACACATCCCTAATCTGCACTCTTTTCTCTAGCCCCACTTCTGCCACCCTAGTAGAAGCCACTATCATCTCTTACTGGACCAAGTTATTAGCTTCCTAACTAGTTCCTGTTTCCTCTCTGGTCCCCTACACATCAGGGTTTCTCAACCTCACAATATTGCTTTGCTTGGGGGAGGGGGGCTGTCTTGGGCACTGTAGGATGCCTAGCAGCATCCCTGGTCTCCACTCACTAGATGCCAGTAGCAACTGCCCCCCCACATCGTGACAAACAAAAAAAAGTCTCTAGACATTGCCAAATGTCTCTTGGGGGATAAAAATCACCCCTGAGAACCACTGTCCTACATCCTACACACAGGAACCAGGATATTTTTTAAATGCAAAATGCATCATGTCACTCCCCTGCTGAAAACCCTCCAGGCAGGAAAGGATGGTCCAGGGTGCAGCAGGGTTAATGAATGTTGGCGGCGTCCCGAAACCGCAGCTTGGCTCTTACATTGATTTGTGGTCTGCTTCCAGGAAACCAAAGATGATCGGTCCACCTGGCAGCAGGCTGGCTGCGAACTGGAGGCAATTCTGCCCTGGCCAAGGGCCATGGCCCTCTCGTGGCCCTGAGGAAGGAAGCATTTCATCGGGCCTTTTGGACATTTTGGCGAGCGGCCGGCTGCTCCCGCCGCGGCGGGCTCTCCACGCGGTGCAGAGACGTCTCCACCTGCAGAGACAAGGCCCTGACGCGGCGGCAGGACGTCTCCCTGCGCTGCGAGGCGGTTTCCACGTGCTGGTAGGACACCTCGAACGCGAGGGACCCGCTTCCCAGAGGGGGAGACGGAGTGCCCCTCGCTGCGGCACTGGGTAGTCTCCACCTGCCGGGAAGACCTCCGCACCTGACGGGAGGTCGTCTCCACGTGGACCGTCGCAGTCTCCTCGGAGCGGGTGGACTCAGCCCGGAGCGGAAAGGGCTTTCCCTCAAGGGGTGAGGCCATCTTACGGGGGTAACGGAACCAAGCAGGCCTCGCGAGGCCCCATTGCCCCACGCTCCTCGACGGGTTACGTCACACGATGAGGAGTGACATCACATAGCACTGTGACGCAGGCACAGCGGTAGCCGAGGATCCCATGACACAGGCACGTGCAGGAACAGTGGTCCTGGTGGGGGCTGGTGACGGCCCCTCTGAAACCCTGGGTTAGGCCCCGCGCTAGGTCAGCCCCCGCATCGCCCCCTAACTTGTCAGGAGCCCGCGCTGGCGGAGGCGGGAACTGGCCGGGCCGGGGCGGGCCTGGGATGGGAGGAGCCGCCCGCCCCAGCGCGAGGCTCTGCCCGCCCCCCGCATCCCACAGTGCACCGCGGCAGGAAGGGGGAGCCGCGGCTTCCGGCACCTCCCCCGCCACTCCCGGCGTTCGCGGTGTCAGGCTGCTGGTTGCTTAGCTTCTTTGCTGGTGATGGCAGCCGCTGTCGCTATGGAGACAGGTGAGTGGCGGTCCGAGCCGTGCGTTTTGGCAAATAGAACTAGCCTGGGCCCAGACACCTGCTCCCGCTTCCCCAGGTTCTCCTTTCAGGCCTAACTCCCCGCAAGGTGATTGTTCGGACCGGGAGGGGCGAGGGCTCTTCTAGGGTCTGGAAGGGCGAAGGTACTTTGGCTTTTTCAAGAGTTTGTTTTGTTGGTGTATCCTTTCTCCTCACTTGTTATTCAGACACCGACCCCGGGGAGGGGTCGGCTTCCGGCGAGGCTACAGGAGAGATTTTGGATCATAAACCGCTTCCTCGATTTGTTTTCTGCGTCTTAAATGAGCTTGCATAAGTTTAAAACATGGTCGACAAACTCGTGTATTATTTTGCAACTGACGCGTCTCACCGAAGCAAGCGTTCCCTGATCTTGCGTTCTCGCCATGGTCTCTTTCAGCTTGCATTCTGAACTTTTCTTGATAGGTTTAGCGTTTGCTTTGTTTTTGCTTAGCTTAATCACTTAACAACTTGTAACACATTATTAAAATAAGGCAAGGCACAGCTACCGCAACCGCAACAGTGGTCAATATTAAAATGTTAAAATCTCAACATAGTGGCTCACGAGTGATAAATGTTCTGCCCCGTGTGTGATCCTGTTTTCTTTGATAACTTGTCTTTAACATTAGAGAATTCATTCATTCCTGATTAAACATTCATTTTAATCAGGGCTTTGCTTTCCTTACACTTCTAAGGAAGGTTTTTCTCCTCCCTCGCCCAGTTTAGGAAAACCTTCACATGCCCTTCTTTATGTAGAAACGTATCTCATCATTAGTCAGGTTTCTTTACTGCTGTTTTCTTTCTACAAATCAGTATTGTATATGGTGACGTTTATTTTGGATGATTTTTGCTATCTTCTCTCCTAGATGATGCTGGAAATCGACTTCGGTTTCAGTTGGAGTTGGAATTTGTGCAGTGTTTAGCCAACCCAAATTACCTTAATTGTAAGTTGTTGAACACCTCATTGAATTGAGTAGCTATTTATAATTTCTGATAGAAGAGCTGCAATTCATAGTTCCAATTCATAGTTGGCCCTTTGTATCCTCGGATTCAACTGCAGTTGGTTGAATCTTCCCAGACGGAGGGTGACAATACTGTCATTGTCATTGCGCTATGTTATTTTATGTGAGACTTGAGCATCTGTGGGTTTTGGTGTCTGTGGGGTCTTTTAGAACCAGTCCCCTGTGGACTTGAGGGATGACTTTAGTATCTACTTTAGTACATTCTCAATTGAACAGAATTATTGCTACACTTATATTGGTATATATAATTGAGCAAACTGGGACTTCTGTTGTGAATTCAATGAGTGTTGGTGGTGGGGATGTTATGTAAGTAAATTCTTTACTTGTATGTTAGGAGTCACAAATCAGTAGTCCAAGGATTGATTTGCTCTACAGGTGTTTTTTTTTTTTTATGCCTTTCAGTTCTTGCCCAAAGAGGTTACTTCAAAGACAAAGCTTTTGTTAATTATCTTAAGTACTTGCTTTACTGGAAAGAACCAGAATATGCCAAGTATCTAAAGTAAGTTTAATTTTTATAGTCCTAAATATGTGTGTACTTTATTATACTCCAAAGCACTGATATTTAATAGACTTCTTAGTTTCACATTGGAAAAAATACAGTTTGAATCTCTGCACTTCTTTTAGTTGTCTCCATTTTAATACGAGACACACTGATCTCTAACTTAACTTGGATTATTTCAGTGATATACTCACCAGTATCCCTGCTTTCTCCCCGCCATCCCCCACCCCCAAGCCAAACAAAGAAGAACTATTTTCTACACAGAAGCCAACTTGGTATCTTAAAAATAGAAATCAGAACATTCCATTAGAACTCTTCAGTTGCTTCTCATTGCATGCAGAGGAAAATCTAGTCTCTTTTCTCGAGCTAAAGACCTGTATGAGCTGGCCCTGTCTTGTCTGACCTTACCTTGTACCACTCACTCCATCTCACCGGGTTTCTGACCACAGTCTATATATGCAGTGACATAGCCATAGCCTGAACATGAAAGACCATAGAAAGGGGTACTTACATGTAAGGAAGGTTTTCTGGAGGGGGTAGCCTTACCTGAGTCTTATTAGCTGCTTATTTTATTTTATATATTTTACATAATAAATATATGTATTTATTATTCAAGTTGTGCAATAGATGCTTTCGTTTTAAGGCTTATGAATTGCAAGGAGCATACTGTAATCACGAACTTATTCCTTTTTTTTTCCTGCTAATTTGCAGTAGTGCTATAGCTTTTTTTTTTTTTTTTTTTTTTTTTTTTTCTCTTTCTATGGGTTTGACTACTCTTTTTTTTTTTTTAATATTTATTGATTCATTTGGCTGCACCAGGTCTTAGTTCTGGCATGCGGGATCTAGTTCTCTGACCAGGGATCGAACCTGGGCCCCCTGCATTGGGAGCGTGGAGTCTTAACCACTGGACCACCAGGGAAGTCCCCTAACTTATTCCTTTTTAATGGTAAAAAAGAAACCGTGAATTCCCACCTGTGCTTTGTCTTAACTAGGTAGTCAAAAAGCAATTGTGAAACTTTTAGTCTTTTTTTTCCCTAAACGAACACAAGTTTGAGAGGAAAATGTTTCAAACTTGTACTCCCACTTTTCTGATCTGTGTCTCGTAACAAGGAGGATGTATGAAGCCCACATCCTCCTGTAGCTTGCAGGAGGACCCTTGGCACCCTTACTGGCCCTTTATAAAGAACCACTTATTCATTTAATAATCCAAAGAAAAGACTTTTTTTATTAGATTGCAACATGTTGTATGTATGTAGACTTAGAGACTCAGTGTTGGACACTGAGCCCTAGACACCATCAAGTTCAGTTTCACCCACAACATTGCTGAGATGGTCATCTACATGCTGGCTGGAGGTTTCCAGTGAGCCCATATTACTCCATTCAGGGGCAACCAATTCCATTGTTAGCTAGATGCTAGAAGGTTCTTCCTTGTATTATAATATGATACACCTCCATGTAACTTCAACCCATGTTGAGTTTTGTCCCTGAATTAATCCAGAACCAATCTATGCCCTCTTGAGGAACAGCCATTCAGATATTTAAATTCAAGAGAGGTTGCAAATTAACCCCCATTTCATTTCTGCACAAGGTTTTCATTTAATAGTTGCCAACATTTGAAGATTAGAAAGTTTCATATTTTAATCCAGATTTCTAGCTACTCTTTAAAATTCTGGAGGATCTGGTAACCCCAGGTCTTTGTTCTCCCAGGTCAGCCACTGGCTAGAGCAGAGGAGCAGTTGCCTCTTCTAGACAGTTTCCACCATTTCACTAGTAGCCACGACTTGCAACTGTAATTTATCTCTTACATCTTTTTTTCTCACCTACCTTCAGCCATTTCTCATGTGCCCACCTTTGGATATTTTGCACTTATGCCTTATGTTTTTCAGCCAAGAGCTAAACACAGGCCTTCAGATGTCAAGGTACAGTGGACCAAATAGCTTTTTATTCTTCATATGGACATTATACTTCTATTTGTTCAACTTAAGTTTACATTACCTTTTTGGGGGGGGGCAGGGAATGAGGGGGCAAGGATTCATATTGTTGACTTGCTGGGAGCTTTATGTCAACTAAAATCTTTCAGTTCTTATTTTCATCAATGCTGTTAGTTTAGTTCTCCATTTATATATTTTTAAAAAATCTAATTGCAGAACTTGCCTTTTGTACCTCTTCTATTTCATCTTGTTGGTTAATGCTATAATTGTAGCCTATTAACATATTTATAATTCCTTATTTTGTCATGTAATGTATTCTGAGCATTGACTCTACAAGTCTGTTAAATGATCACTGTGTGTCTAAGTTCCAGTTACTAAATGCTACTTGAAGACCATTCTCTTGGTCGTCACATTAACTTATTTTACAGTTGAAGAAACTAAACCTTAAGGGAGTTTAAGTACCTTGTTTGAGGCCACCCAGCTGGAGAATGGCAGAGCTGGTTTCAAACCTAGGTCTTTTAAACTACCAACAATGTCCTCATGAAAAGGAAATAGCCAGGGTAGGTGTGAGTAGGGCTTTCCAGGCTTAGCTGCTGACAATTACAAGCAACTATGAATCTTTGGAGTATAGGAAGCAAATGTGTAATAAGGACAACATGGTGTAGGGCCCTGCTACTCAATGTGGTCCTCAGACCAGCAACATTGGTATCACTTGGGAGCTTGTTAGAAATGCGGTCCTCAGGCTCCACCCCAGACTTCCTGAATCAGAGTCTGCATTTTAAGAAGTGATTCAGGTGGGCTTCCCTGGTGGTGCAGTGGTTGCAAGTCCGCCTGCTGATGCAGGGGACACGGGTTCATGCCCTGGTCTGGGAAGATCCCACATGCTGCGAAGCGGCTGGGCCCATGAGCCATGGCCGCTGAGGCTGCGCGTCCAGAGCCTGTGTGCCGCAACAGGAGAGGCCACAACAGTGAGAGGCCCGCGAACTGCACCCCCCACAAAAAAAGAAGTGATTCATGTGTGCATTAAAATTTGAGAAGCACTGCTGTAGTGTACTGTCCCCAAACTTTAGTCATTTGTATACCACTTGTACAATTTTGGCTCTATCTGTGTACTCCCTATAAGACTTACTGTTTTTTAATTAACTCATTTAAATTTTATGTCTTTTCTGTTTGAAATAATTTTACTTAAAAACAAATGGAAAAACAGTAAGAAGAATTCCTGTATATTCTTCCCCCAGATATTCTAAGTGCAAACTTCTTATATAATCATAGTACAGTGATCAAAATCAGAACATTAACATTGATATATCATCTGATCTTGTTATCTAACCAGACCTCACTCACATTTTGCCAGCTGTCTCACTAATGTCCTGTGTCTGGGGCAGTGTCCAGTCTAGGCTCAGATGCTGCATTTTGTTGTCATGTCTTAGTCTCCATTAATCTGAGTTCATCAGTCTTCTTTTTTTTCCCCCCATAAGTGTGACACAGAAGTGATGTTATATCCTCCTTGGTATATCAGGAGTCATAGGATGTCAATTTGTCCCTCTACTGGTGATATTAATTTTGGTCACTTGGTTGAGATGGTGGCTGCCAGTTTTCTCTGTATCAAGTTACTATTTTTCCTTTTGTATTTAATACATATTTTGTGAGGGAATACTTTGAGACTATGTAAATATCTTGTTTCATATTTCATTCTTCTACCTAACTTTAGCATCTATGGAAGATACTTGCTTGAAACAATTTTTACTGTGGAGATTTTCTAATTCCATCATTCTTTATTCATTTATTAGTTGGTATTCAGTTGTGAGGAAGGAACATTTCCTTGTTCCTGATTTATTTATTCATTTTAAAAAGTTACATCAATAGGGACTCTTGGATTCTTTATCTTGTGGGTTATAATTATGTATCTTCTTGATCCCAGATATAGCCAGTGGGAGCCCCTTCACATTGGCTCCTGAGTACTTTTGACATATCCCTATAATTTTCTGAGCATTTTTCTTTCTGGCACTACATAATATTCCAGGCTTATCTTGTACTTTCCCTGTTAGTCTTAGAATCAGCCATGTCTCCAACCAACCTTGGATAATTCTATATAAAACCCATGATCTGGGCACTCGATGTGCTCATTGGTGTCATTGCTTGTAGGCCCTCTCAACACACAAAGCTAGAAATTGTGTGTGTGTGTATATAAATATCTATTTCTATATCTGTGTGTGTGTGTGTGTGTGTGTGTGTGTATATATATATATATATATATATATATATATATATAAAGCCATGAGTTCATACTGATGTTTTCAATTCCAACTCAGTAACAAGATACATTCTAGCCTTCCCCTTCCTTATCTGAAACTCTTTTTCTGAGAGCCAGAAATTTAGCTTTCTATCTACAGCATATTTACTTACATATTTGCTCAACCTTAGAGTATATGTACTTAATTTCAGAATTGTTATATCCCTATGGAAAACTAGAATACAATATTTGTGCTTAGTTCTTTCTGAGATTGACTCAGTTTTAAAAAAGAAGTTGTCTTATTCTTTACGGAAAACCAGTAGGTATTAATTAAACACATAATTAATTACTAAAATAAAAAGTGTTCGTGTTCCTCACCTTGGAAACCACCAGAAGAGAATAGCATGATTTGTCTCCCAATGTTGACTCTGTTTACCAGTTACTGTGTGGTCTTAGGCAAGTTATTTAATCTTTCTGAACTTAAGTTTTCTCACATTTGAAAATCTTGCTGACTTTTGATGCATAAGCAGGAAAAAAAAGAACTGTACTACCAAAGTATACTAAATTAATGTTACAGAAATGGTAGGCTGCAAGATCGTTTTTAGGTGAGTAACTGAACTACAGTGTGGTATTATTACGTTACATCGCTCATTAACTTATAAACTTAACCCCAGGTACCCTCAGTGTTTACACATGTTAGAACTGCTCCAATATGAACACTTCCGTAAGGAGTTGGTGAATGCTCAGTGTGCGAAATTTATTGACGAGCAGCAAATTCTGCACTGGCAGCACTATTCTCGGAAGCGGATGCGCCTTCAGCAAGCCCTGGCGGAGCAGCAACAGCAAAATAACACATCAGGAAAATGAACAGTTGGATCCAGACCAGGCTCTTAAGACATGTATATATTGCTTTTGTACAGTGAAGACAAAAAAAGACTCTTCCTATGTACCTTTATTGTGGTAGCACCTAGAACCGTTAGTGTGCTATTGAACTAACTTTTTCTTGTTAATAGATTATTTGTGTTAAACCAGAATTGTTTTACTTTGATTTCCCTGTGGATTTGTAAGCTTTTATTAGTATTTAACACAGTCAGCTGAGTAAGAATAGAAATGTTAGGTGTTTCAGACCAATTTAAGGCAGCAGGGGGTGAGGTAAGGGGAGGGCCACTGAATAGCCCAAACTCTAAGCCAAGCTCTGTTTTCATGTACAGTGGGGCCTGGGACAAGTCTGTCTCCTGGAACCTTGCTGTCCCTCAGATCAGCTATCCTGCCCTTCATCTACAGAGTGAGAGGTGTGGAGTAAGTGACCTTTACGTCAGGCAGCAGGAACCGCATAAAGGTTCTTAAATTCTGCAGGGCAGGAGACATACCTGTATCGCCAGTTGCTTTGCAAGAGAGCTTTAAGGAAGAATCATTGGTATGTCACTGACCTAGTAATGGCAGGGGGAAGATTGGTGGTTAACTACTAATTGGACTCTTGACCTTAAGACTAGAACAAAGGTGAGGAGCCTCAAATATCTGTGCTCATTTGGGAAAGCCGACCTTTATTTGGCAGATACCACAAACCAGGCACAACGTTAAGCGCTTAGTTGCATTCTCATTTTATCCTCAGAACAATCCATGTTCATAAAGGAGGAAACTGAGGTTTAGACAGGTTAATGGTTACACAGCTAGTAAGTGATAATCAATGAGACTGACTCACAGGCTGGAGTCCTTCCCATCACTAGGTTATATGGTTTCTGACCTCTCTTCCACCCGCCTCATCCCAAGTAGTGAAGCATATTCAGACAGCTGTAACAAAACTGCCAGCATTAAGCAGAGGCTGGATTAGATGTGCTCTGATTCCCTTCAGTGGTTAGGTTAAGTTCTACATTCTAAAGCCAAAGAAGGAGTTTTAGGAATAACAGTTCTTTGTAAATTCGTGGGATTTAAGGTAAAAGATCCTAACTCCTTTAGAGATTTGGAAGCTGTCTACTGCACTATTAGGGGCTTCTAGGTATTTCTGTCATCTCCAATAATAGCTTCCTTTGTGCTATTACTGCCACTCCTGAAGAATTATTTTACGTATGGTAGCTTAAATATACCCATATATAAAAGCAAACTGAGGGTTCATGAGCATTTTAATAGCACTCTCTATTGTTTAGACATGTACCAATTTTTTTACATCATCATTTATTTACTTATTGCTAACATGAATTCAAAGCAAGTATGCAGATTCTTTTATACTAGAGCAAATCAGGAAATAAAGACACAATTGCCATCATCAAATCTTAATCTTCAGAGAACAACATCTCCACGAGGTTGGCCTGAAGACACTCAGATTCTACCAGTTTTTGAGGCTGTAAGAGAACAACAGTCATATCTTAACCCACAGCTACAAAAATGTCATTAGGAGGGGAATGAGTTGTTCTACCTTGAATGACACAAGTCTTGGAACAGAGAAATTATGCTATTCAGAAACTATTAACTAGTTGTAACAAGCTTTATGAAATAGTTAAGATATTTACCTTAAGGTGAATCATTAAAATACTTGGCTCCGTGGACTAAAAGAGGAGACAAGAAGCCCGATGTCACCCCTTCCCTTTAACTCTTTAATTTAGAATCCCAGGGCCATAACTAAACTAGAGGACATGCCCTTTCTTTTCATCCAGAGTTATGGATTAAGTTGAAAACAACTATTGATGCCACTGTTTTAATTGTATGTTAACCAACTTTCTTCAGCAGTGCTTACAGAATTTTAAAATAAGGATGGCTTTTAGAAAGCATGAAAAGGGGCTTCCCTGGTGGTGCAGTGGTTAAGAATCCGCCTGCCAATGCAGGAGACACGGGTTCGATCCCTGGCCCAGGAAGATCCCACGTGCCACGGAGCAACTAAGCCTGTGCGCCACAACTACTGAGCCTGTGCGCCACAACTAGTGAGCCCGTGTGCCGCGAGCTTATGCTCCACGAGTAGCCACCGCAATGAGAAGCCCGCGCACTGCAATGAAGAGTAGCCCCCACTCGCGGCAACTAGAGAAAGCCTGCACACAGCAACGAAGACCCAGTGCAGCCCAAAATAAATTTAATTAATTAATTAATTAAAAATAAATAAATAAAAGGCATGAAAGGGCTTCCCTGGTGGCGCAGTGGTTGAGAGTCCACTTGCCGATGCAGGGGACAAGGGTTCGTACCCCGGTCTGGGAAGATCCCACATGCCGCGGAGCGGCTGGGCCCGTGAGCCATGGCCCCTGAGCCTGTGCGTCTGGAGCCTGTGCTCCGCAACGGGAGAGGCCATAAAAAGAAAGGCATGATAAAACCCCTAATATTTGCATTATTAATAACTTATTGGGATAGGCCATAGGGATGGACAGCCATGTGTATTTTGAATACATTCTGAAGAGCAATGTGATATTTGGGATGAAATGTCAAGATCTCTTCAAATTTGAATCCAGAACAAGTTAAAAGAGTTTGATAGGGTGAACTGTATCCCCAACACAGTTAAAGAAAGATACTCACTGTTCCATATTTAAGTAGTGTAGGCACTGCAGTTAATTTCAACTTTTTCCTGAAGTCATTATTTGGCTCTTTCCAACTATTTCAGAAGGAGAAAGTGATCATGAAAAACATTTACTTGGTTTCTTACATTCTGCTTGGTATTTGATATATTCCCAGTTTCAATCTTATAGTAATCATTGTTTTTGTTGTAAACATTTTAAAAACCTTGACATCTACAACATATATTCTCCTGTGCAAAGTTTTCATTTAAGTGAATATATACTAAGATATAAAATAAATGTAAAGACAAGTTCTGAACTAACATCAGGCCAAATTATTGAATTACCCTTACCTAATACAAATGGCTGAACATTCGAATTTTTAATTTGTATTTAATATATTCTAATTGCTTGACTTATCCGACTGTATCTTAGAACTCGGAACCTGAATCACGAGACCCTTCCCGCCTAAATTTGCAAGAGTCTAGTGCATGTCTGGGAAATAGAGTACGCATTGCCACTTACTAAGGTTTTTCTCCTACTTGGCAGTAGATGAACACACATCCTTCACCAACATGCTTCAGCCCCTCTCGTACGACCGGTTCAGCTTTTTAAAAAGTTGATAGAAATAATTACCAACTTTACAATCAGGCACTGATGAACAGCGTCCCTCTCCCCTCCCCTCAGTCTCGGTAAGTACTCAGACTTTATCCTGCAGTTAACTGAGGAGATTAACGGAAGTCACGTGTTTTTTTCTGATTTTTGAGAGCCACTTTAAGGGTAAGGACCCACTCTCAATCCTGATTTGTCCCCAGGCCACAGCGCCCAGAACAATGAAAGACAAATATTTGTTGACTTACCATAAGGAGACCAATTCACGTCTCCTGTAAGACACTAAGCACATTGGGGAAGTGAAAATCTAATGGACTAGATTCCAAGATTACCTGGGTCGAATGGTAGAAGAGCACACTTGGCGGGGCGGGAAGGATTTAATAGGAGGAGAGTCGGGAACCGGGTAGGAAAAGGCAAGGTGAGAGCTCAGATCAACCTGCGGGACTCCGGTAGCAAGACTCCCTCCCCTTCCTCTCCACCCCACTCTCTGGCCATAGCCTCGGCCTTCCTGCCACTTACTCTGGGCTGCAGCCCCCGAATCCCGGCCTCACCCTGCACGCAGTCGGGGCACCAGCTTTTGCCTTCGGCGTCCTTAGAACCAGAAAAATAGGCGAAAACGGTCTTGCCACTGTGCTGCTCCACCGCCTGCATGAACTCCTCGTAGCCGTACACGCTCACCTCTTCGTAGCGGGCCATCGGGAGAGCTTGCCTCAGACAGCTAGAAGTGTCTTGGGTTCGGCTGCCGCTGGGAGGAGCTCCATGCGGGGTGGGGCGAAGCTGTTTCCGGGTGGGCGGGGAGCTGGCCAGGGCCTGAGAAAGCAAGCCTGGCTCTGAGGTGCTACGGGAGCCTCTGAGGGCCAAAACTCCTCCGCACCGTCTTTCTCTTCTCTTTTCTCAGGTCCCTCAGTGCCGGCTGCACCCCGAAACCTCGGCTTCTGACCCTGTCTTGTCCGGGCCCCAGCCCCATGTGCAGTGGCTGCAAAACCTGCCGCCACGCAGCCCCTGCACCGTTAGGTGGCTCCGGAGCCTTAACGATTCCCAAGCCGCCCTGCGCCCGTTGCCATGGCGACTGGGCGAGCGGCCGGAAGGGAGGCCTAGTTGCGGCCCCCAGCCCGTTTTCTGGTAGGCGCGCCGCGCCCCAGACCAGGTGGGCTCTGGCCAGAGCTGGGGGGATTGTGGGAAGCCGCGTTAGGAGTCATGGATCTGCAGGAAAGGAGACTTTGACCCAGCGCAGATCCTGCCGCTCGTCGGGCCTAATTACCTTTTCTCCTGCCGAGGCTTTAGTGGGGCCCCGGGACTGGGGGGCGGGCGTCCGGGACTGGGCGGGGGTAGGGGACTGGGAGGGAGGAAGGCTCAGAGGGCTAGAGCTGAGTGTGTGAGTGCGTGTGGGAGCCGGTGCTGAGACAGAAAGTGCCGCGGGGCTGCGTTGGGAAGGCGGGAGTCGCCCTGGAGCGATGAGTGGGGCGGCTGGCCCAGGGGTCTTGCCGGGGCTGCGCAGGGGCGAGCTAGCGGCGGAGACGCCGGGCCGCTGCGTGGGGCCCAGCAGGTCCGGGCGCGGAGTCCGGCGGCCGTGGGAGAAGAGACGGGGTGCAGGGATGTCCCGAGGCGGTGGAGGGAGGCGCCGGGCGAGGTCCTCGGTGCGGGAGACGCGCTGTGTGAGTGCGGAAAGGCTGCAGGACTGTCGGCGGCCGTGGGGGAGGAGACCTGCAGCGGGGACAGCCCAGGCCGCCGGGGCGAACGAGGCTGCGGGGACACCTGGCACGGCAGGCTCGATGGAGGTAGCAAGGGACCTTGGGACTGTGTGGGTGAACGGGGCAGTGGGGGAACCCCAGGTGGTGGGGCCTGTCGGTTCTGTGTGGGTGACTGGCACTGGGGAGGAGGAGGAGACGGCTTATAGGAGCCCCCGAGGCTGTGAGAGAAAAGGTCGTCCGGGATCTACGGGGCATGAGAGCATTCTGGAACTGTGGTTGAAGGTGCAGGCTATGAGGGCAGCTTCAGGATGTGGGGAAGGAAGCAGAGTCGAGCTCCATCCCGTGTCTGCAGGAGAAGGGCCGGTTGAAAGGGGGGTTCCTGGCCGGGCTTCGTGGGTAGAGACCAGCTGTGGTGGTCTCACCGGACCATGGGTGAAAGGACAGGCCAGGCCAGTCCCCCGGGCCGCAGGAGTAGCCATAGCTCCAGACCTAGGGGCAGGCTGTGAGAGGGCCTCAGGCTTGTGTGGGCAGGGCCAGGCTGTGAGGATGCCACCTGTGGCTGTGCCTGGGACTCTGGAGGCAAGTTCTGGGATTGCCCCACACCCGCGGCGGAGAAGACAAGCCGAGGCGGTGCCTGGGCCCGTGGAGGGGATAGGCTATGGGGTTGCCCCGGGCTCTTGGGGAAAAGGGCCGACTGGGGGGGTTCCCGGGGCCACTGTGGGGTGGCCTGAGGCTGTGGAGGTACTCAGAGCTGTGGAGGGAGAGCCAGGCGGCAGGGCTGCTCCAGGTCTGCGGGGGGGGGAGCAGGCAGCGCAGGCGCCTGTGTGTGTGGATACCTCAGGCTTAGGGGGAAGGGGGCGGACCGCAGGGGTGCCCAGAGCTGCGCGGGAGGAAACTCCCTCTGTGGGTGGCTCAGCCGTGGAGGAGACAGACGCCGGGCGTCCCCCTGGCCTGTGGGGCACGGGACAGCCCATAGGGGTGCCTTGTGCGACTGGAGCAGGAACGAGATGTCGGGGTGAGCCAGGATTCGGGGAGAGGGGGCAGGCTGTGTGGGTGGAGACAGGCTCTGGGGGCGACTTCGGGTCCCGGGAAGCTGCACAGCCTGCAGAGGTGTCTGGTCCTGATGAGCAGGAGGCAGGTCCTGGGGGCGCTCCAGGCCTGTGGGACATAGGACAGGCTGTGGGAGTACCTAGGGCTCTGGGGCCAGAGACAGGCTGTGGGAGTGTCTGGGGTCTGTGGGGAACGGAACAGCCTGTGAGGGTGTCCCAGGCTCCGATGGTAGCGGGAGCCGTGGGAGAACGGACCAGCGGCGGTGGAGTCCCACGCCTGTGGGCTAGGCAGCAGGCTCTGGGGGCGCCCCCGGCTGATGCAGTGCCGGGGGCTGTCGGAGAGGAGACCTGTGGTGGGAATGTCTTGGGTCTGTGGGAAAGGAGGCGGGCTCTGGGGGGGCAAGAGGCTCCGGTCCCTGCAGCTTTAGGGGGACCCGTGTCTGTGGATCAGGAGGCTGGCTCTGGGGATGCCTCATGTCTCTGCATGAGAAGACAGGCCACGGGGCTGTCTGAGGCAGTGGGGTCACCAGAGGCAGCAGGTGTGTCCAAGCACAGGAGTGCCCCAGCAGGGGTGCCCACAGCTGTGTGTATGTCTGGGTCTGGAAGCGTACCTGCCAGGGTGCCTGCCGCTGTGTGGGTGTCTGGCTCTGTGTGTCAGGAAGGCGGCTTCAGGGATGACTTGAACCTGTGGGGAGAGGTTCGTAATACCAGGATACCCTTGGCTTCAGGGGTACCTATGGCTCCCCAGGAGCTGTGGTCTGTGGGAGAGGATACTGGTTGTGAGGCTTCCCCAGGATCATGGGGAAAGAGACAGAGTGCTAGGGTTCCTGTGGCTCCTGAGGTGCCCATGGCTTCTTGGGTACCTGGTCCCCTGGGGGTGGAGACTGGCCCTGGGGGTTTCTCACGCTTGCCAGGGAGGGGACAGACTGCAGGAGTACTTCTGACCGCAGGGGTGTCCACAGCTGCTGGGTCCCCTGGACCGCTGGTGGGTGATGCCAGCTCTGGGGGTGGCTCAGGGGTATGGGGAAGGGGACAGGCGACTGAGGTGCCCACTGCTGCCAGGGCTTCAGGACCTGGGAACGGGGAGACTGACTCTGAAGGCGTCACAGACCTATGGAGAAGGAGAGCCGATGGAGCCGTCCCTGGGGCTGTGAGGGTACCTCTGTCTTTGGGGGTGCTTGCAGCTGTAGGAGTTCCCACGGCGGGGCGCCGGTCTGCCGCAGTGTGGGTGACTGGGTCTGCAGGAGAAGAACCCAGTACGGCTGTCTCCAGCTTCACGGCAGGGAGGAGGCTGTCCACAGAGGGCCCCGGGGCTCCAGGGTGGGAGACAGGAGGTAGAAGTGTCCTGGGGCTGCCGGGGGAGGTGTCTTACACCTGTGGGCATGGGACCAGGTTATGGAGCTGCCCAAGGTCTGCGGGGGAAGAGCCAGACTCTGAGAACATGCCAGGGGTGTCCAGGACAGGCACAGCTTGGGGGGTGAATGAAGCTGAGGAAGTGCCCCCAGTTTCAAGGGAGGAGACAGGCATTGGCCACTTGAGAGATCATGCACAGCAGGGTGGGAGGAGACAGGCTGCAGGAGGGTCTAGAATCAGAGGGAGGGGGAACAATTTGGGAGAAAATTGTGAGGGGGAGGACAGATTGAGGGGTGCATTCCAGTAGTATATATAGGGAACAAGTTGGGGGACCCTGGGGCTCTTTGGGAGGGAACAGGTTGGGGGGAGATTTGTCCTGGGTTATGGATGAAGGCACAGGCTGTAAGGGTGTCTCAGGGTGGGGGAGAGAGGTACTTCGTGGAGATGCCTCACCGTATATGGGATAACACATTGGGAGGTTTCCTGGCACAATGGGAAAGGGGCAGGTTGCAAGGAGAGGGGTGTCCCAGGACTTTGTATAGGGGAACAGTTCGGGGTGGGTGTCCCTGGACTTTGTGTGTGTATGTGCTTGTGTGTGTGTGTAGCATCACTCGAGGTATCCTGGAACTGTGGGGATCACCTAGTTTCTTCCTGTTGGAGAACGGACTGTTAGGCCTTTGGCATCCAGGGGGAAAGTACTGACCACGTACAAGCCACAGATGCCCAGGCCCCAATTCTGCAGGCTCCTTCATTCTGCGGCTCCGGCCCCTGGACTGTGGTGATGTCAAGCCAGTTGGGATTGCCTCACTCGGGTGCTTCCTCCCATCTCCGCTTTTGATCATGTCTCTACAGCCTTAGAAATAAGGAATCTTTATATTTCTACAGATGTGTCAGTCTTTAAGCAAATCCAGTCTACAATCCTTGAGTTTATTCAAAAGCTTAAATTAGGGATCTTTAAAAAAACCTGAATTTCCCAGTTGAGTTCCTATGAGATTCTTTGAGAGGGCAAGCTCCCCCATGCAGTTAACACTAGTCAGTTTATGGAAAATCTGCTTAACTCGACAAATGTTGAGTTAAATTGTCCTCTATGCTCAAAGCACTGTTGTGGGGAATCTCAGAGAAGAGCAAGACAAGGCCCTAACCCTCCAGGAACCTTGTCTAGCTGGGAAGATGAGACAGATACCTGTGAAATAGGTAAATAACGATATGAGCAAGTGTGTGAGTGCAGGGGCAGTAGTGTCTATAAGAAGGCATTCAGAATAGGGAGAGGCACTGATGCATGTGTAGTTTACAAAACGCTCTCATCTGTTAGACACTACGTGAATATAGGGTGGGGGGAGTTTGGGGGAAATTGAAGATGTACAGAGGTCATTCAGCTAGTTAATGGCAGTTCCTGGCATCAGTCTAGGTACTCCAATGCCACAGGTTTACTTAGAGTCATTCAGAGTTACGTCCTTTTGAGCTACCTAGAAGAGTGAAGCGTACTGCTTTTTGGTTAGTAGTTAGGATTTATTAATGTAGGCTGTATATCCGTAAAACTTACTTGCGGGAAAGTGCTTGTTTACCATAGCAGAGCTCTGTTTTTGGAATAACGTTTTATCGGTGACCTTTGAGATGTGAAATTTGGAATGCAAAGGGCTCAAGAGATAGTCATTAAGCTAGTGTGTCCCCTATTCGCTTGGAAGGTAGAATTTCAAAAGTGTAGTTGCTTTAGTAAGTGGAAGAAACTGTCGTGTACCTGTCCTTAAGCATTCACTCTGTAGTATGAGGTGGCTGGGGACTACTACAATATTGTTATATGAGCATGGCATTGTGTTTTACTTACTCTTTCCTTTTGTTTGAATACAGTTGGTCTGAAAGTACTTTCTTTTATTTTAGGCAATGATTTTAGGAGAGAACTGTTGGCTGATGACTGAGCTTTCACTATTGTACTACACTTTCTGACATGATGGGATCAGGCAGACCAGCCTCAACCTGTGTTCATCTAGCATCTAGTGTCCAACTGGATGGGAGGAGTGACCCCAGGAAACTTCAGACCCAGGTAGTTTCATTTTATTTTTCTCTTCAGAGTTTTGTTATGAAACATTTCAGACAAAGAAAAGGGCAATGAACACGTTTTAAATCACCTTTTAGATTTAACCATTATCACACCTAAGAAAATGGACAAAAAATAATTCCCTAATATTATCTAATAACCAGTCTTTATTCAGCTTCACCCAGTTGTCCCCAAAATGTCTTTTCCCCCAGCATTGTATTTACGCAAATCTTCAAACATACAACAGAATTTTACAGTGAACCTCTATATTCCATTACCATTTCACATGTTTGTTCCATTGCATATCTATCCTTCAGTCCATCCCTCTAGAATCCATTCATCAATCCCTCATACTTTTGGACTCAGATCAAAATAAATTCCAGGGGCTTCTCTGGTGGCACAGTGGATAAGAATCTGCCTGCCAAGGCAGAGGACATGGGTTCAGCCCTGGTCCAGGAAGATCCCACATGCCACGGAGCAACTAAGCCTGTGCGCCACAACTACTGAGCCTGCACTCTAGAGCCTGCGAGCCACAACTACTGAGCCTGCGTGCCACAACTACTGAAGCCCACAGGCCTAGAGCCCGTGCTTCGCAACAAGAGAAGCCACCACAACGAGAAGCCTGCGCACTGCAACAAAGAGTAGCCCCCGCTTGCCACAACTAGAGAAAGCCCGCGTGCGGCAACGAACACCCAACACAGCCAAAAATAAATAAATAAAATAAAAATAAAATAAATAAATAAATTGCAGACTCTGAGTACCCTAAGGACTTGAGCGTGCGTATCATACACTAGAATTCATTCTTTTTTAAAGATTTTTTTTTTTTTGATGTGGATCATTTTTAAATGGTCTGTATTGAATTTGTTACAATATTGCTTCTGTTCTGTGCTTTGGTTTTTCGGCCCGAGGCATGTGGGATCTTAGCTCCCCGACCAGGGATTGAACCTACACCCCCTGCATTGGAAGGCAAAGTCTTAACCACTGGACCGCCAGGGAAGTCCCCTAGAATTCATCCTTTGTTTACCATTTTTTTCTTTTGATGTACATTTTACATCTGCAACAAATATACTGAAATGTATCCATCTTGTCACATTTGCTGAGTTTTGACAAGTGTATACACATGTGTATACACATGTATGACTCATGTATAATACTGTCAAGATACAGATCATTTATATTACCCCAGAAAGTTCTCTCGTGCCCCTTCCTAGTCAGTCCCACCCTGGCCCTCCACAGGCAACCACTATTCTGATTTTTTTCCAACATAGATTAGTTTTGTTTGTTCTAGAGCTTCATGTAAGCAGAGTCATATACTGTACTCTTTTGTGTGAGGCTTCTTTCACTGGGTATGATGTTTCTGAGATTTGGTGTAATACTTCTGAGATTCATCCACCTTGCTGCATGTATCAGTAGTTTGTTACTTTTGAATACTGAGTAGTGTTCCATAGTAAATGTGTACCACTGTTTATTCATTCTCCAATTGATGGACACCTGGGCTGTTTGGGTCACTATGAATGAAGCTGCTATGAACATTCTTGTACAGATCTTTTTGTAAACATGTCTTCATTTCTCTTGGGTAAATACCTGGAAGTAAAATTGCTGGGTCATAGGGTAGGTTTATGTTTAGTTTTTTAACAAACCAACAGACCTTTTTCCAAAGTGGTTGTACCATTTTATTTTCCTACCAGTAATGAATGAGAGCTCCAGTTGCTCCACATCTTTGCCAGCATTTGCTGGTGTTTTTAAATTATATATATTTTTTAATTACACCATTCTGGTGGGTGTATAGTAATATCTCAAAGAAAAAGTTTTTAAAAATTTTGACATAATTTCAGACTGACAGAAAAGCTGCAAGAATAGTACGCAGAATTCCTGGATACTCCCAGATTCCCCAAATGTTAGCATTTTATTACATTTTCCCTCCCTCTCTCTCTCCCTCCTTCGTTTTTTTTTTTCTCTCTCTGTCTCACTACACACACACACACACACACACACACACACACACACACACAATTCTAAACTGGTTAAGAGTAAGTTACAAACATGATGCCCTTTTGCCCCTAAGTACTTCTGCTTGTATAATCATGGTACAGTGATCAAAATCAGGAAATTAACATCAAATGATGCTATCATGTAATCTACAGACCACACTGAGATTTTGTTAGTTGTTCCAATAATGTCCTTCATAGTGAAAGAAAATCTAAGATCATGAGTTTCGTTGTCATGTTTCTTTAGTTTCCTTTAATCTGAACGATTTTTGAGTCTTTGTATTTCATAACATTGACATTTTTGAAAAATACAGGCTTGTTATTTGAGGATTTCCTCTCATTTTGGGTTTGTCTGAAATTTTCTTATAATTACATTCAGGTTATGCACTTGCGGTGATGCTGAGTTCTTCTCAGTGCATCATATCAGGAGGTACACGCTGTCGATTTAGTCCCATTACTGACAATGTTAACTTTAATTATTTGATTAAGGTGGTGTCTGCCAAGTTTTCCATTGTAAAGTTACTCTTTTGCCTTTTGTAATTGGAAGTATCTGTCTTTGAGACTATGTTAATATCCTTTTATTCCCCAAACTTCATTTGCTAGTTTAACATTCACTGATGATTTTTTTTTTTTTTTAATGGTGGGAGTATGGTTTATTAAGCTGTGCCTTAGTACAGGCGCTGGGGCTTGCCCATGGTGCTCTAAATGTACAAAGCCCGAACGTTCTGCCAGTTTTTCTTGAGCAACGACACCAGGAAGTTGACAGCTAAGTGGATGTTGTACACAAGCTCATCATGTGTCATTTTCATGTGGCCAGCAGCCACCGCCAGACACAGCACCTTCTTCGTCTGGAACTTGATTGCGGACTTCACTTCATCAACTTTGGCTACCATGTTCTCATTGTGGGTCAGCAAGGAAGGGAACTTGCCAGCTTTATTCAGGGCTGGGCCCAGGATTCGTAGGATCTGCTTGATTATAGATTCTGAAGCCAAAAAGGCATCATCCTTTTTGGCCAGCTTCTTGACCAGTTTCTTATTCTTGCTGAGTTTCTTCAGGGCCTCAGTGTCCACGGCGGGGATATCCACAGCCTTGGCCTCATCACAGTGCTGCTGGTCCCCCAGAACACATACAGAAAACTTGGGGCGGGGAGTGGACTTAAGCCTGACTGTGGCCGAGAAGCGTTTGTCCTTCTGAGAGTCATAGTTCAGGCTGATCTGAAGCTCCACCGTCTCCAAAAACTTCCAGCATTTGCGCTGGTTCTCGTGCAGGACGTCCTGCACCGCCTCGTAGAGGGAGTCTCGGGAGACTTTGCTGCTTATGGCCCCTCGCGCCGCGATAACCGGAAAAGAGCTCATGGATGATTTTTGCCTAAATCAATTTTTTATTATGATGTGGTGGTGACTTATTTATTTATTTATATCAGAGCAGACTCTGAGAGTGTTACTTAATTCAGTATGATATTCAAATAGTCTCTGGGGCTTCCCTGGTGGCGCAGTGGTTTAGAGTCCGCCTGCCGATGCAGGGGACACGGGTTCGTGCCCCGGTCCGGGAAGATCCCACATGCCCTGGAGCAGCTGGGCCCGTGAGCCATGGCCGCTGAGCCTGCGCGTCCGGAGCCTGTGCTCCACAACGGGAGAGGCCGCAACAGAGAGAGGCCCGCGTACTGCCAAAAAAAAAAAAAAAAAAAAAAAAAAAAGGTCTCTGGCCACCTTTCACGTTTCCATCAATCTTTGACCACTTTTTGCTATAAAAAGATATTCCAGGCTCAGCATAATTTTCCCCTGTCCCAGCCCTAGAATCAGCCATTTATCAAAGGAGACTTCATCCGTTTGGTGGAGAATGGATTTTAGGAATCAGTATCCGGGTACTAGATGTGCTCATTGGTTCTTGGATGTCAGTGTTTCTCTCATATGCCCTCCCAGAGGACATAATTTGGCAATAGATGTATATACTTGTGTGCCTGTACACACATTTGTATACAGATTTGCACTTCCTCCTTCCTTCCCCCCTCCTCTGTCTTACTCCATTCTTTCCTCCCTTTCCGTGTGTCTGTTTGTCTATCTGCCTATCTGTCTATATTAAACCCATAAGTTCACACAGGTATCTCCAGTCCAATCCAACACTTCCCATTTGTAACTCCCGTATTCAACAGTGTGAAACCAGTCTCCAGTTATCCACAGTATGCATACTCATTTGCTCAGTCCTAGAATGTACAAAACTGTTTGAGAATTGCAATCCATGCCTCCGCAAAAAAAGAACCCTACAAATTAGAGTTCAGTATTTGTTGAGAGAACTTTTTGTCTTTAGCCTGAGGGCATATATAGTCCAAATGCTATGTTCAAAAGTTAATTGGGTTGATTTTTTTTTTTTTAAACCTCCACTTTTTAGTGTGGTTATGTTAGTCATTTGAACTTCATTTTGGTTCGTTGGTTTCTGTTAGTATTTATTTTTAGGGTTTTCCTTCATCCATATGAATTTTATTTATCTTCCTCCCTTTCTCCCTCCCGTGTTCTCTTCCTTCCTGTCTCTCTAGTATATGGGAAACATTAACGTGGTTCCAAACAAACGTGTGCAAAAAGGAACATTCAGTGAAGTATTACCGCCCCCCCATTCCCTCTATCCTTTCCACCCAGTTCCTACCCACGCCCTGTAGACCTCTAATCTTATTATTCTCTGATTTTTCTTCCCTTGGTTTCTTTCTGTACAAACCATCAGATGTGTGTGTGCTTTCTCATGGAGTACTCCTCCCCGTTTTTGAAGGGTGGAGTGTTACACTCTTTTTTGCACTTTGCTCTTTTCAGTGAACGGCATATCTGAGAAATCCCTCTGTATGAGTTCGTACATATCTTCCTCATTCTTCTTAACATCTTCATAGTACTCCTCTGTGTGGATGTAGCATAGTTTCTTCTGTTTTCTTTTCTTTCTTTCTTTATTTATTCATAGCTGCGTTGGGTCTTCGTTGCTGAGTGTGGGCTTTTAGTTGCAGTGAGTGGGAGCTACTCTTCGTTGCGGTGGCTTCTCTTGTTGGGGAGCACGGGTTCTAGGCACGTGGGCTTCAGTAGTTGTGGCACACGGACTCAGTAGTTGTGGCTTGAGGGCTCTAGAGCACAGGCTCAGTAGTTGTGGCACACAGGCCTAGTTGCTCTGCGACATGTGGGATCTTCCTGGACCAGGGCTCGGACCCGTGTCCCCTGCATTGGCAGGTGGATTCTTAACCACTGCACCACCAAGGAAATCCAGGATATAGCACAGTTTGAGACATGCTTCTACATAGGCATTTAGGTCAATTCCAATACTTGGCAGTTACAGTAGAGCAGTGAGTAACCCTGTGCATCTGTATTGTTGGGGGTGTATCTTCAGGATAAATTCCTGGAAGTGAGACTGCTGGGTCAAAAGGCAAACACATGTGTGGTTTTGTTTGCTGTTGCCAGAGTCCCATCTCTGAGGGTTGCGCTCCCACCAGCATCCTGTGAGAAGGCCTGTTTTCCCAGTCTTGCCAACAGCATGTGTTGTTATATCTCTTAACTTTTGCTGATTTGTTGCTGTCTCGGTGTATTTTTAATTTGTGTTTTTATGAACTTGACGAACTTTTCATATATTTAAGGGCCATGTTTCTTTTGTTGTTGTTGTTAGTTATCTGTTATGTGTTTTCACCATTTTCTACTGAGTTTTGGTCTTTTTTCATCTCAATTTACAAATATTTTTCTTCCAGTTTTTCAGTTCTTTGACTTTGTTTGTGGTGTTTTTAAACCATAAAAAACAGAAATTGTTTTAAAATTTTTTATTTTAATGTAGTGAAAATTATCACTCTTTTATTGTATATGGATTTTGAGTCACCGTTTGAAAGCCTTTCCCTTCCCCCAGGTTAAAGAGGAATTCATTCATTCATTTTTTTTTTTTTTTCCTAGTACTTATATGAAATCCCCTAGGTATTTTAGGTTACTTTTACTTTTGGGGAAGATTTCTCCAATAAGGCCATAAGTTCCAAGTATTGTTCCTCATTCTGTGCACCTTTCAGGTGGTAATTATTTTTTTTCTCTCTCATCTCTACTTTTTTCCCCTAAAATACTTTCCTGAAGTTTTATCACACTGGGTTAGTTTAAACTAACTCTTCGTACACATGATTGTATAAACACATGTTCTTGTGTGTGCTGTGAGAGTTGGGGAGGCCGTCTCAAGAATAAGGCATCACAGCACAGGCTGCACTGGGTTTGCATGCACGGATTCTCCTAGTGCTATTTACCTACCATGGACAGGTCCAAAGCCACAGAATTGTTTGCTCCCTTTGACATAGTAATTGCAGAACAGATCATTTATCCTAAGGAAATAATTTAAAAAGAGAAAAAAACTAAATGCATGGGAATATTAATTGAAGTAATATTTCTATTACTGGAAAAGCTGAAACAATCTAAATGTTTAATAATAAGGTTATAGTTAGGTTAAGCCTGAAAAGGCCATCCATTGGATTTTGGAAAATGCAACTGTGAAAATTAATGAAAACTGTGGGAGTATGGAAACATGCCTATGTTTGTTAAGTGAAAAACAAAACCTGTGTCTATCATGATTATAACTAACAAACACTTAAACTTGCGTAAGAAGGTGAAGTGGACTGTTTAGAGCAAGATGCACTTAGGTGTAGGATAAGAGATGTGGTCTAATCACCAGATGAAAAATCTCAGGAAGAGTATTGTCAGTGGCTTAGGTTCTGTGTGGTGCATCTGTGGAGCAATTTTCAGGAACACTGATAATGAATTGTACTGATCACTTGCTGGAAACTGACATTTTGATACAGGGCAGAAGTCCATCACTGGGGAGTTGAGGAACTTACTGGTTCTGTTTGAAGCTTTCTGAGTTGACTTTGTGAGGAGGATTCTAGTATGCTACTAGTAAACCAGAAGTATAATACTGGGGACTGGGTGATTGTAGGATAGAGCCAGGGGTGTGTGGTTAATTCAAGGGTGTGCGAGAGCAGCTGATTCTATCGGTACAACAGGAAAATACCTCTTAGCACTAATAATTGTGTGGGTGAAATGTTAGAAACTTGATTATAGACATATACTAACTATGCAATATGTTATTTTTCTAATGTGTGCTTGCTTTTATTTTTTTTTTAAAGAACCAGCTGCAGTTTAATAGGAATGTTCCTACACATTCAAGCAACTTGGCAATCCGATATTCTTGCCCACATGGAATTAGAATTGAAAAACTGAAGCACTCATACAATGAGTCATACCATTGTAGAGATTCAGGTTTTAGAGACGGTCCTGACCTAGGCAGTTCTGTTTCATTTTCTGTCATATCAGAAGAGAGACTTAGCTATGCCGTCCATCTAGCCAAAAGAGATGTAAAACGAAGACAACTTGAAGAACACATAAAAGAACACCATCTCAGAAGTCAGCCCCAAATCCTTCAGAAATGTGGACAGTCTAACCATAAAATATCTGACCATAGAGTGGAAAGGAAGGAATCAAAGAGTCAGGAAGTCTGTCAAGGCAGCAACCAGCCATCCAAAGTAGAAATTTCCAGCTCAGGTGCCAAGGTATACCTGTACACATCTCATCCAGGACAGTCAGACCTCACCATGCCAAAGTCGCCACCCACTCATGATCCAGGACTTCAGCCACATGCCAGGATAGGTGACCACAAAAGCCTATGCGGACACAAAAGCCTGCTGGAAGTTCAGCGACTCCAGAAAGAATTGAGCAGTTGTATCCATAAAATTGAAGAATTAACTAAAAAAGGTGAGAAAAATTGGACTCTTGACTTCGAAAAGATGCTATGAGAGGGTATAGTCCAAATACATTCTTCAGGATCCCCGCCCCTTGTCACATTCCATTCTCTCCTGTCCCTAGAGTGAGCACTCGTGACAAGACAGGTGGACTTTGAGTTTGACCAGTGTCTTTTTTTCTGACGAGTTTGCCCTGCCCTAGCCCCTCTTTCCAGCAGAGGCACCTGAAAGAACCCCTTTTCCTTAGGCTGTACTTGGTAAGTTGACTGACTGAGGGACCCGCTTAGTAATTGCGGTACCTGTTGTCTGAAGCTTAGGTCTTCTAGCACCTGAGTGCAAATTATCCTGTAATGTTTTGCTTCTGTATCCAGAAGTCCTTCTGGAAAAAATTATTTTTAATTTGTTGAGAAAAGAGCATAATATTTGTATATTATAGCTAAAACCAGTTCTAACTTAGGCAGTGTTTAGATGAGTACACAGCAGTGATGGGGAGTTATGGATATACGTATAAAATATCTGACCACAGGGTAGAAAGGAAGGTGTGTAATCCTCATATACTGTTCTCTACAGTTTTTCAGTGTTCCCTATGCCCTTGCATTTCCCTGGGCAGTAGGAGATTGACTGAACATGGAAGATTTGGGGTTACCATAGCTAACAAGTAGGGGGATCAAGCCTAGCTTTCAGACTGCAAGGAATAGGGAGTTAACATCAAAAGGAGCTACTGTGCTAAGATAACACATAGTCTATAATGATCTTTTGCACTGTAAAGTCAAGTAATGTATGCATATGCACGCGTATGCATGTTACGTAAGGAATTTAAGGTGCCTTACAAAAACAGATTGAATAAAATAGAACAAAAATATGTAAATGAGGATATTTTGGCACAGGATAAAAATAAGGAAAGGAAAAATGAGATTTATTAGGAATGGGTTACGGATTTGTTTCTGAGGTTCCTCACAGTCAGCTCACCAGGAAAATGTGATCAATTGCAGAATTTACAAAGAAAAAAACAGTTGTATGAGGAAAAAAATTATACCACGTATTGAGGCTGGAAAAAAATTTCTCTGGTGGGTCTTTATAAAGAGTATGTTGTGTAATATGAACAATTCGAAAACATTCCTACATCAGAATGGCAGCAGTGTTGTGGCTTGTTTCTCCTAACATTGCTCAGTGGCGGTCTGTGGCATGACCCCACAGCATAGTTTGGTAGAAACCATGATACCAGGGAAGCAAAGCCACGAGGCCTGCTGCTCTGGTGATGGGGCCTCATACAGGGGACCTTTAGAGCTGAGCTGCCTAGGCAGTCTTCCAGAAACAGTTTCTTTGAATGAATCTTTTGAAAATGTGGAGCAGCAGTGTGTATGAGGGTGTGCTTCCTGACAAATAAACGAAGACTTTGGACAAGCAAATAATTTTAGCCCTTGGTGTCTTAATATGTTGGAGAAAGGACTTCTCATCTGGGTTCAAGATAAGAGAGTGCAAAAGAAATCTTGCTAAACATAAAAATAGGTCAATAAATGGTTTTTTTAAAAAATAGAAAGCACGGGACTTCCCTGGTGGTCCAGTGGTTAAGACCCTGCACTTCCACTGCAGGGGGCATGGGTTCCATCCCTGGTCGGGGAACTAAGATCTTGCATGCCACGTGACTCGACCAAGAAACTTAATTAAAAAAAAATAGAAAGCATTATAGATTTGGGTTCAATAGAAAGAATTTAAAAATAGTAAGAGATGCATAACTGTGGCATAGGCTGTCCAGTGGGATTTGGTTCAGGGAATTCCTGCCTGGAGGGGAGCTTGATCTAGTTAGTCTTCATGTCTCTTCCATCTCTGAGTCAGGACACAGGCCCACTTGCTGGTTCCTAGTTTTATAGCTGATGAAAACTGAAATTTTTGGTTATGACAGCTTCATTTTTCTTCTTAATAAAGCTAGAGATTGTCAACCTCATTATCTCTTTGAGTAATTGAAGTTTTTATAAGTTTTTAATGTGTGGTTTGTAATCCACTTTTGGGGGAAAAATATTTTCAGATCGCATGGAAGAAGCTTTGGATCCAGATGAAGAGCGGAGAATCCGTGTCAGGAGGAAGGAGCAGGCCGTCCGTTCTGCCCGAATGCTCTACGTCCTCCAGCAGCAGGTGCGGAGGCTCAGGGACCGGGGGCCTTCTCAGGGAATTCCTGTTTTCCTTTTGTCTCAGGAATATCAGCACCAGGTATCCTACATGAATTCTGATGTGTTTGTGAGGCCGAATTTCCTGAACATGTGGACAAATAACCCTGCTTCTCGTCCTCAGTCTTTATGTGTGTTTGTGTATTATGTGTATATGGCCGAACTCTTTATTTTTATCTTTTTAAAAAATTTTTACAATTTATTTTTGGCTGCCTTGGGTCTTCGTTGCTGCGCACAGGCTTACTCTAGTTGCTGTGAGCAGGGGCTACTCTTTGTTGCGGTGCACGGGCTTCTCAATGCGATGCCTTCTCTTTTTTTTTTTAATAAATTTATTTGTTTTATTTATTTACTTTTTAAAAATTTTTGGCTGTGTTGGGTCTTCGTTGCTGTGCACGGGCTTTCTCTAGTCGTGGTGAGTGCGGGCTACTCTTCATTGTGGTGCGCGGTCTTCTCATTGCAGTGGCTTCTCTTCTTGCAGAGCGCCAGCTCTAGGCACACGGGCTTCACTAGTTGTGGTGGGTGGGCTCAGTAGTTGTGGCTTGTGGGCTCTGGAGTGCAGGTTCAGTAGTTGTGGCGCATGGGCTTAGTTGCTCCAAGGCATGTGGGATCTTCCCGGACCAGGGATCAAACCCGTGTCCCCTGCAATGGCAGGCTGATTCTTAACCACCACGCCACCAGGGAAGTCCCTGGCCAAACTCTTTAAATACTGGGGGATTTTTTGTTTTTGTTTTTTTCTTTACTTTTTGGGGTCATAGACTCTTGACAATCTACTAAGAGCTATGTGTCCTTTCCCCAGAAAAAAATGCTTATACAGCCCATATTTTTGCAGATAAATTTAAGCGGATCAGTTACCCTGAAACCTGTGGTCCCCAGTAATGCACCTTATAGTCTTAGAGGATAGGGACCTTGTTAGTTTCCCATCTGTCTCATGTTTATTTTGTACTAGAAGCTTAGTAGATCGTAAATAGTTTAATTGTCTTTACTAAATAGTAAAGAGTGAAGAATGTGTTAAGTGTCTTTCAGGACACATGGAGTGGCCGATAAGCAGGCATTTACGTTTTTTACATTGTGGATAGAATTTTTAAATGTTTGTTTTAACTTTAACGCCTTACTCATTAGTAAGCCTTGAACTCATTTCTGGCCACTTAGTTCATGTGTTAGCCTTATTGCTGAACCCAAAACTGGACTCTTTCATTTAAAAGATAATGCCTGAGTTAGATTTTGTTTTGTATTCTTGTTGGGTTCATTTTGTTTTTTACTCTGCACTACTGCCATAAAGATTGTTCTGAAACACGAATCAGAGCTGTGCTTGAAAGGTTTGATTGGCTCGCTGTTACTTAGAGGGTGGAAGCTGAATTCTTTAGCCACAGCACTGAAGACATCCTGATCTGCCCTCCTACCTTTCCAGAGTCACCTTCACCTTCACTCCTTCATGTTAAATTCCTCTTACATTGGGGACCAAGGGATGGAAGGTGAACCCTGTGCTCTAGTCACCATCTCAAACTGGAAACCAATAGCTACTTTGGGGGTGCATGAATGAAGAGCCTTGTTTCATTTTCAAGTGACTTGAATAATAAGGGTTATATTTGGGACTTCCCTGGTGGCGCAGTGGTTAAGAATCCATCTGCCAATGCAGGGGACACGGGTTCGAGCCCTGGTCCAGGAAGATCCCACATGCCGTGGAGCAACTAGGCCCGTGCGCCACAACTACTGAGCCTGCGCTCTAGAGCACCCGAGCCACAACTACTGAGCCTACGAGCCGCAACTACTGAACCCCGTGGACCTAGAGCCTGTGCTCCACAACAAGAGAAGCCACCGCAATGAGAAGCCCACACACCACAACGCAGAGTAGCCCCTGCTCGCCGCAGCTAGAGAAAGCCCGCACACGGCAACAAAGACCCAACGCAGCCAAAAAATAAATAAATAAATTTATTTTAAAAAATAATGGTTATATTTGGACAAGAGAAAATGTATCCTTTTCTACAGAAAAGATCAGTGGAAAGGTATGAAGTTTTCATTTCTCCCCCCTTTACAAAACAGGTTAAAGAAATCCAGGAAGAATTGGATAAATTGAGTCCACATAAAATTAAACATACTAAGAAGGTATGATGCAATTTAATTATGATTAATACTACTTATAAACTACATTTCCAGTGTTTTGTTAGTATTATGTGTGGGTTCTCTGCACTAATATTATTTTCAGTGCTTGTAGAAACCTATTAGGGAGTGAGCATCTTACATATTCTGAATTTGGGCTCATCTTCCAAGAAACAGTTTCTGAAAATAGATTTTTGTTGTTGCTCCTGGTATAAGAAACTGAGCATAAAAGGGAAAAGACTTTTTCATTAGAAAACCTTTAAGCTTTACAATTCCCTTTACTATGAAAAAGTTTTTACAGTAGTAGTTGTTCTTACGTAGAAAGAAGATTGGCTATAAATGTTCATAAGGGTTGGGTTAATGTTTAGAAGTTGTGAGTATTGAAATAACTCTTGCATCTCATTTATTGCCAGTCATGGGCAGTGTCCAGGCTGGCAGCTGCCCATCGAGGAGCCATTCGGGCCTTACAGATGTTTGTTACTCAGTTTACTGAGCGGGTGGAGCACGCAGTTCCTACTTGGTGCAAGGAATTGGGCAGTCTCATCCGCCAGCTTTCACTGTGTTCTGCCAAGCTGGAGGCCAATTCTTCTGTCCCTGATGTGGTGATAGATATCCTGCAACAAACTGAGGTATGAATTTGACTCCGATTTTTGTTTAAAGTGCATTGCTTCTAAGCAGGGAAGTAATGTTTACTATTGCCTAATTTCATTGAGATTTGTGGAGAATACAAGACAAAGCTGGTACCTAGTAAATTCAAGCTTTGCAGAGGGCAGAAGAAGCACTTCATTTTATTTTGTTTTTACAGTTTTGTCTATATTGTATTTCACTGCTTTGAGGATTGGTGACTTGAGTCTAGAACATATAACAACTCTTAACCAGGTCCATTAATTAAACAGAATGTTCCATACCGTGACCAAAAGAACTTATTAGCATACAAAAGGAAAACAGTAAAGCACTGTTTAGATTAGAGCTTAGATTAGAATATCAGTGTGCAATCTAGATAGATTTTTGAAAAAAAGAAACACAAAAATATATGGAAGCAGAGTCTAAAGTCTTGTGCTATGGCTAGAGACTTCTGGAAATCACAACCGGTATGTACTAGTCAGGAATGGATAGTGTTTTTAGTTTTATTGGTGACAAAGACAGCAAAAACACCGTGTCCTTAAATCTTTATAGTTCTTTGAAGTTTGTGGAGTGCTGTCATTTCATCCTTACTGCGTTGCTGTGATTTGCAGTAGGTTTTATTACTTTTATTTTACAGATTAAAAAAAAAGGTCAGAGACATGACACAGTTACTTCTCTTGATGGCTGGAAATCCAATGCCTGTTTTCTGACTCCCATGCCACTGTTATTTCCACTGCGCCACACATTTTCATCCACAAATAAAAGGATGGCCTTTCTGTTAGTGTGACACAGTAAGCTGTTGGCTGTAGAGGAAGGACGCTGTAGTGGGAAGAATTTGAGACTAAGTGACAGACCAATTCTACCATTAACTAGCCCTTGGTGATCTTTAAATCCCCTTCTACCTTTACAGTTTCATTATCCAGCAAATATGTTTGTGATTTACGTTGGTTACATTTGTGCATATAGAACGTACTATCAGGAATGTTATTGTCAAATGGAGACCTTTACATAGCATATCAAGTTATGTGGTGCTTTTTAAACTTATCCATAAGAAATATTTATTGGCCAGATGATTTCATTTAGAGGACATACCTTGCTAGTCCTAGAAAGGATCTCAAGAGATAGTCCCTTTCCCAAATTTTGAGCAGGAGTGCCTTAACATAATGTTTCTTAAATATAATGTTTGTCTCCTCTACATTTGAAAATATTCAGTAGCACAAGAAATTTATTCTTACTTGTTGATGTGTACGACACCAACCCATAGCTTATTATTTTCTTATTTCCTTACTGTCATCTGAATTAAATGTCCCTGGCTGTGTTCAGTTGTCCTTAACCTGTACTGACTGGAGGGAGACTGGGCCCTTGCTGCCTGGTGATAAGTGGGTACTTGTTAGAGGACATACCTCTCTTAGAAGGGGTGGAGGGGCACAGATTTCCCCCGTTGTGGTAGATGAGTGACCAGAGCCACTGGACATGCTAAGTTTCCTTTAGTTTATGAAGATGTGCATTAAATACAGTCTGTGTGCCCACTTAAAGGATAATTTAAGTTTATGAGGTTTTCATTGAGAATTAAAATGCTTATATAGCATATAGGATTATATTCTGAAGACTGTGGTTAGTTTTTAAAATAGGAATCCTTAATTTTAGAATTTGGATGCCTTTAAGAGTGGTCATATTCTTTATTTTTTTGCTATTGGTTTTAGTGAGCTAAACATGTAGAAGAACATGCAGAATTCTTTTATTAGTTGGATTCCTAAATAACCAAGTTTTAAAATTAAGTGATGTTCCATTAACAATTAGAGATAGCCATTTAATAATGAGTTTCTCTGGAGTTCCCATTTTCAGTTTTATAATTGAGAAGTCAGACTTTTGTGAGATAAACTAAGAGAATGATTAACTGTTTCATGGCAGGCTTTGGAATCCCTCCTGGAAAAGACACTGTCACCAAAAAAGGCAAAGAAATGTTTCAGTGAAATTCAGAGCAGATTTCCTATTGGTAGCCAAAGGGCCTTAGAGAGATGGCAAAGTACATCACCAAAGAGTGAGAGGAGGCCCTTCGTAGCAAAGGAGATATTTCCACAGGAAACAAGAAGACCTTCAGTGGCAAAGAAGCTTCTTGCTGGTATGTGTCCTGAAGTGTTTATTACAAGATACTTTATTCTTTGAAATTGTCTGGACTGTAACAGTTGCCCCCCTGGGTCAGGATTTAAAGCCTAGTCCACAATAGGTGCACTTGAACTAGGATAAAGGAATAGCAACCAAAATGCTTCCTTAGGCTGGAGGCTGGAGTATTTTTCCTTAGAGGAGGGTGAAGAAAGTAAAATTCCCTTTTCCTGCATCATAGCATTTGGGCTAACCAAAGTAAATCCCTGCAGAGCTGGAAATTAGAACGCTGCTTTTTTTTTTTTTAAGTTTCTTTATTTACATTTTAACGATAGATATATACATATCTACACAAACACACGTTTGGTTGATACATATGATCTTTTTTGACATAGGTAATAAATTCTCGTTATTCCAATAAGCAGAACTGCAAGCTTACGTGGTGTGCACATTTAAACAGATACTGCCAACTTGCCCTTGAAAATGGGCATACAATTATGTTTTGTTTAGCAGTGGCCATCAGTATGTATTTCCCCATATCCTTGCCAATATATATATATATAAAATGAAATATAAAAAATTTCCAGTCTCTTGGTGGAAAATGGTACCTTACTGTTTTATATTGTGTTTCCCTGATTCCTAGTCAGGAAGGTTTTTCTTTCATGTGTTCCTTAGCCTTGTTTATTTCCTCTTCTGTGATTTATCTGTTCATATCCTTTGCCATCTCCCTACTGGGTTCTGTCTTTTGCTTATGGGTATATAGAAGTTCTTTATATATTTTGGATTTTAATCCTTTTCTGGTTTACATGTATTGTAAATATTTTCTCTTAGACACTTACTTTTGAATTTTGTTTATGATATCTTTTCTGGCACAGAAAATTTTATTTTTATTATTTATTTTATTTACTTTTTTCAGTTGTGCCACGAGGCTTGCGGGATCTTACTTCTCTGACCAGGGATTGACCCTGGACCCTGGCAGTGAAAGCACCAAGTCCTAACCACTGTACTGCCAGGGAATTCCCAGAAAATTTTAATTTTGTAGGCAAAATCATCATTCTTTCCTACATATTTTAATATTTTAAGAGGTAGTTCTTTCCTCTTTGTTGTGCTTTTTCAAAATTTTGCTGACGGTGATTGCTTATCTTCAGAGGAATTTAGAATGAGCTTGTCAAGTTCCATGAAAAGTGCTGTTGGGAGTTTGATTGGTATTACATCGAGTTCATAAATTAAGTAGGAGAGGAATGACATCTTTACAATATGATCTATCAATTTATTCATGCCCCTTTTCCATCCCTTCAGTTGAATTTTATAACTTTCTACATATGATAATCCCTGACGTAGGAATATATAGGAATTCCTAAATTTCTTGTTACGTTTATTTCCAGTTTTTATCGCTATTGTGAATGGGATCTGTTTTTAAAATTACATTTTGAAATTGGTTATTGCTACTTATAGGAGAGCTGTTGGATTTGTACATTGCTCTTATATCTGACACCTTGCTGAAATCTTTAATTTGTTATGGTACTGTATTTCATTGGTTCTAAGGTATACATTTGAACATTTCTGAAATTGGGATGCATTCTTAAATTGATGATATCTTACAATTACTCAACGATATTTTAAAATTTCGTATCGGTACATAAAATAATATGTCTTATACTTGATATTTCAGATTTGATGAAATTTGAGATTTTGTTAACTTTTATGTATTTTTCCAGATAGATGAGCTCACTTAAGTTTTGCCTCTTTCTTTGCAATTTTTATACCTTTCTTTTTTCCTCTTTCTGCGTTATTGAATGGATTTTAATTCAGGTTAATATTGAATAATAGCTGTAATGGTGGACATCAACTCCCCTTGCGTGCCCCCCCTCTTACCAGTTTAAAGGGAATGCTTTTTCATATGTGATGCTGACTATTGATTTTTGGCAAATCTGCATATGAAGTTAAGGAAATTTTCTTCTGTTCCTGTTTTGCTAAGAGATTTTCTTTTCCTCTTTTTTTTCCTTCTTAAACTGACATATATACATCGATAGTATTTTAAAATAGTTTTAAGATTTTAATATTGAATTTTTTAATATGCCATTTATATCAGAGTGTGGATGAATCCAGTAAACTAGTTTTCCTTCTTTTAATTGAAGTGGAATGTACAGATAGAAAAGTACACTATAAATTTACAGCTCAATTATCAGAAAACAAATATTTGTGTATGACCACCACCCAAGTCAGGAAATGGAACATCACAAGCACTAAGAAATCCCCTAGACTCTCCTCTTCCAACCTCCTTCCCCTGCTTCTTCCCCTCTATTAACTATCACTGTGATTTTTCTTTCTTTTTTTTTAAAATATATTTATTTATTTTTGGCTGTGTTGGGTCTTCCTTGCTGCGCGCAGGCTTTCTCTAGTTGCCGCGAGCAGGGGCCACTCCTGGTGACGGTGCGCGGGCTTCTCACTGCGGTGGCTTCTCTTGTTGCGGAGCATGGGTTCTAGGTGCGCGGGCCTCAGCAGCTGTGGCATGTGGGCTCGGTAGTTGTGGCTCACGGGCTCCAGGCTCACGGGCTTCAGTAGTTGTGGCGCACAGGCTCAGCCGCTCCGTGGCATGTGGGATCCTCCCGGACCAGGGCCCAAAGCCGTGTCCCCTGCATCGGCAGGCGGACTCCCAACCACTGCGCCACCAGGGAAGCCCTATCACTGTGATTTTTAATGCTGTACTTTGGTTTTGCCTGATTTGGAACTTTATAAAAAATAGAATCACACAATTGGTATTTTCCTGTGACTGGCTTCTTCCACTTAACACTTTGTGAGATTCATCTGTTCTGTTTGTGTAGCTGTGATTTGTTTATGTTCATTGCTGTATTCCATTGTACGAATATATGGCCATTTATCCTGTTGTTTTAATCATTGGGTTTTTTCCAGTTTGGGGTGATTATAAGGGAAACTACTGTAATCGTTTTTATATATGTCTCTTGGTACATGTGTGCCTGTGTTTCTGTTGGGTTTATTCCCAGGAGTATAACTGTTAGGTCATCAGGGTATGTATTGGTTCAACTGTAATATTTTTTTCAAAGTAGTTTTATCCTTTTATATTCCAACCAGCCGTGTATAAGAACAGTTGCTACACATCCTTGCCAGCCCTTGTTATTAGTTTTTAAAATTTTGGCGACCTGGTTGATGTGTGAGGCTGTCATTGTGGTTTTAGTTACGTTTTCTGGATGTTTAGTGGTGAGTACTTCTTCATATATTTATTGGCCATTTACATGTCTTCCTTTGGGAAGCGCCAGTGCAAGTCTCTTGACCAGTCCTCCCTCCCTCTCTCTCTCTCTCATTTTCTATTCTCTTTTTTCCTTTCTCCCTCTCTCTCCTTTTCTTTATTGATGTGTGGGAGTTCTTTGTAGGAGTATTCTACATAGGACCCTTTCTCAGTTGCCTGTGTTGTAAATATCCTCATAGAAATAAGATGTAGCTTGCTTTTAAATGTTACCGAGGTGTCTTTTGATGGACAGAATTCTTAATTTCACTGTATTCCAATGTAGCAATCTTTTCCTGTACAGGTTTTTTGTTGTTGTTTGTTTTTTTTTGGTTTGCTTTTGGATCCTGTTTAAGAAGCTTTTCCTTATGCCAAAATTAAGAAACTATTTTCCTATGTTATTTCCTAAAAAAGGTTCATTTTCTTCCAGGTGGTATCTAGTTGAGCTAGCACTCTTTGTTGAAAATATTATTCTTTCCCCGCAGTGGCATACAGTGTCACTTTTGTCATAAGTTGTGTCCACATATGTGTGGGTCAGTTTCTGGGTCCTCTGTTCTCTTCCACTGATTTATTTGTTGGTTCTTATGCTAGTGTACACTATCTTACTTAACTATTCTAAGTCTTGATATCTAGTAGAACAGCTTTTGTCACCTGTTCTTCCAGAATGTCTTGGCAAATCTTGACCCTTGGTATTTCCATAGAAATTTTAGGATCAGAATTTGTTAATTTTCATCCCCTCCCCCTCCAACAACAAACAACCTATTGGAATTTTGGTGAGTAATTGTTATCTTTACAATATTATATTTCCCAATCCACCAGCAGGGTATATATCCCTCCATTCATTTAGGTTGTCTTTAAATACTCTGAGTAACTTATAATGTGTGTGTGCGTTTGTTCATCTTTATTTAGAATTATTCCTTGGTATTGCTATTTTCAGTGCTCTCAGTGCTTTCAGAAAATGATGTCTTTTTAAAAACTTAATTTTTAATGAATATTGTGGACATACAGACATGTAGTCAGTTTTATGTGTTGATCTTATATCTAGCAACCTTGCTAAGCTAATTTATTTCTAATAATTTATGGGCAGATTATTTGTGTTTTGCAATGTATATAGTCATGTCATCTATGAATATAACCATTGGTTTATTTCCTCCTTTCCTATCTTTATTCCTTTTATTTCTTTTTCTTCTATGGTTTTCTGGTTTTATTTACTTGATCTGTAGATGACTGATACAAAGGTATGTTAAAGTCTCTTGAGACTTTTAAAATTTCTCTTTGTATTTCTATTCATTTTTGTTTTGTACCTTTTGAAGTTGTGCTGTTAGATGCATAAGCATTCCTTACTGATAAATCTTTTTTTTGTGTGTGTATGTGTGTGATATGTGGGCCTCTCTCTGTTGTGGCCTCTCCCGTTGCGGAGCACAGGCTCCGGACGTGCAGGCTCAGCGGCCAAGGCTCACAGGCCCAGCCGCTCCGCGGCATGTGGGATCTTCCCGGACCGGGGCATGAACCTGTGTTCCCTGCATCGGCAGGCGGACTCTCAACCACAGCGCCACCAGGGAAGCCCTGATAAATCTTTTTTCTGTGGATTTTGTATGTTATTATTAAATATCTCTCTTTGCCTTTTTAACGTCATTCACTTTGGATTCTGTTTTGATATTAATATTGTTTCATCTACCTAACTTGTTTGGCATTTACCTAGAATAACATTTTCCATCCCTTTATGTTCAGTTTTTCTTTGCTGTTTTATTTTAAGAATGTCTCTTGTAAATAGT